GTAGCGTAATAGTTCGGATAGGTAAGTTGGTGCCAAGCCATTTAGACATTTGTAAACTAGGAGTAAAATTTTAAAATGTATGCGATAATCCAGCGGCAACCAATGAAGTTTGAACATGATAGGAGTGATATGGTCAAACCGCTTAGATAATGTAACAATGCGTGTAGCAGTGTTTTGTATCAGTCTTAACCTGTTTAAGAGGTGTTTAGGAAGGCCATATAACAAAGAGTTACAGTTATCGAGTTTAGAGCTAATGAACGCCTGTACTAAAATTTGAGAGGTATCTTCACTTAAGCACTTCCTGATCTTAGCTATGACCCTTGTAGTATCTACCCTTGTAGCATCTATGCAAACCGCTTTAATGAAATTATTGAATCTTGCAACCTAAAACAACACGTTACTGGAGCAACTCACGCTAACGGACACACTTTGCATCTTGTAATTTCTATAAAAGATAATTGTCTCATTACTGAAATCAAGATTTTCGACCCTGTAATCTCGGATCACTGTTTAGTTTAAGCGTTTAAGTCCGGTAAAAAGCAAATTCAGCAAGGATATAGATCCTCAGGTACTTCATTTTGAAAACTTTAGGCAATCGTGTCAGAGTTATAGACAACAACGATAAAAAAAAGTAAAATTTTGGGCAAAAAACTCACCACCAGTTTTGCTGTTTACCTATTACTCCTTGCAGTTTAAATTTTCCCCTGCTGGAAAACAGGCCGGCAAAATTCCGATTGAAAGAAAGACAAAAAAAAAACTTGAAAAAAAGAAAGGCAAAGGGGAAAAAGAGATTGAGAAAGAAAAATCGAAATAGATTCGCCAAAGAAAAAACAGATAGCAAGAAAGCAAAAAGAATAAGGGTATAAAATGGGGATAAACTGGATTCTCTGACCCTGCGGAGGGGAAAATTCGTCCTATTGTTTTTTAGTCAGTGGAAAGGGGAGGGAGAAATCGAAATTTTGTAAAATCGCGGACGGCAACCATGGAGACGTCGCGGAGATTTAGTGCCTTTCCCAGCCCATGAATATATGAAATATAAAATTGCAGAGGTGAAGGGAGGAGGGAGCTCCTATCCTGCATAGCAGTCACTTTCGCTCACTTATCTTCTTCTTTATCTCATACCCACTTGCGTCTCGTGCGCTACTTACTGCCGAATTTCTTTTGCGGGCCTGGAGATCTTGGGCGCGATCCATTCAACCACAATTCCGACCGGTCCGACCGGTAAAAAGGTGGACAAGTTTTTTCGAACCTTGTCCGGTTGGACCGAACCGATTGATTGAGTTTTGGACCGATATTTCCGTAAATTTTGGTCGAATGGATCGCGCCCCTTGGATACATGCTTGGGCGTTAATGGCGGCAACATGTGGCGAATCGAATTAGTGGTGAACATGAAATTGGTATAGAATACTTCATGAAAGTGCGGGCGTATATTTCCGCAGGAGTTGTTGACTGGCGTATCAGAAATCGAACGAGTGAGAGCAGTGAACTAGTGAGATTTCTGATACGTCAACATTTCGTGCGTATATACCGTACAAAACTCTTTCCGTGTTATTTTCTGTTTATTATATACATACTGAGACATTCATCATTTTGGCAGCCTTTTTATTTCAAATCTTTCCAAAATGCTTAAATTTGCCGCTACGTGCGAAATGACAAACAAAACGATGCATCAGCTTGTTAGTAAAAAACGTTTGTTAAAGGACATGTGTCACGAAATTCAGCCAAATTAGGAAATTACAAAATGCCCGTTAAATTAAGAGAAATGTAAAAATAACCGCTTAAAACATTAAAAGAAGGTTAAAGTAACACAACAGATGCCACGGATGGGCAAAACTGAAGAAGATTTAAACGGATTGAAATTAGGGTTTTTTAAAACTGTTCAGCCTAACAGTTTTTCAAAGTTGATTGCTGCTGCGGGAGTAAACATGCTTATGGATTGTGCTAAGTTCATGCTTATTGTATCTCATATCGGTCATCCAAAAAAGAATAATATAATAGAGATGAACTACACAAAAACAAAAACTTGAAGCAAATTTTCAAGTGACAGAACGGGCAAGGTGCACAACATTCGCTATAAGTATCGTAGAAATTAGTTTACTGCAACAGTATAAATGAAACAAGATCAAAATGTACGGCGATTAGTTAACAAAGTGTCATACGTATCAAATTTCATGATCATTCTTGACTTTTCCACTGAAAAAACTGGCCATTGTCGAGAGGTTGGCAGTTGGGGACACGCTTTAGTGGCCGTTGCCGTTGTAGAGAGGTTTAAATAAGAGTCAATGTATGGACTGTCCTCCCGGGACAAAATAAAGTAGCCGTTGTACAGAGGGGGCTATTAGTGGAGGTTCGACTGTAACCTTATAAAAGGAGCTGTGTCACGGCAGTCCAGTTCATTTTGTTTTATTAATTTTGTCAATTACTCGCCCTTAATCGCTATCAAGCAAAGAAATTACATGTAAATGACAAAATCAGAGATCCGAGACAAACAAATATGTCTCCTGAGCATTATTTTTGAAGTTGCAAGCAGCAAGGACCAATTTTGAAAAGCTGTTAGGCTGAACAGTTTTCAAAAACCCTAATTTCAATCCGTTTAAATCGTCTTCAGTTTTACCCATCCGTGGCATCTGTTGGTTCTGTTATGTTTTTCTAACCTTCCTCTAAGGTTTTAAGCGGTTATTTTTACGTTTCTCTTAATTTAACGAGGGGAAATTTTGTAATTTCCTAATTTGCTTAATTTCGTGACACAGCTCCTTTAAGTAAGCTTAAATAGAAAACAAAGTAGCTCGGATAAAAAAAACACAGCTCAAGTTTAGTTTACGTCTAGTTCTGTTTTTCCCCTTCCGCTGTTGTTCAGCCGGCCGGCTCTCTACAATTCTCTTCATCGACAGAGAATACACGAAACTATTCAAGTCCAGAATTTCCGAGAACTTTTTCACTTTTTTATGCGAAAAGCTCTTGAGAAAAACGTTTCTCGTTAAATGCCTGCGAAGCACTCGCAAAGCGAAGGCCCTGCAAGCTGCAAGCGTCTATAAAAGGCGGGAAATTTGGCGCGAAACTCACACCACAGAGCACAGTCTGTGACTTCTGATTGGACGTATCCGTTTTCTCACACGTGAAAAAACTTGTTTGCAACTTACTTGTTAAGGAGATGACTACGCCCACAAAAAATGCAATTTCTATGGCTTTATTCTACATTTTTATCGACGATCCTCATCCTTCGTAAGATTAATTTAGTGATTTCCAGGACTGTTCTTTCTTACGAAAAATGGCAGAGCATTAAGGGAGAAAACGCTGATCGTGTACACTGTATGTTGGCACGAGCGTCATGTAGTAAATGCTTAAATTTTCGCTGGTTGCGCTTAATAAATATTTTGACGTCGAGAATGGGAAGGGAGCTTATTTTTCGTCTTCGGAATTTCAGCCTCAAGATTGCTTTTTCTAAATCTAGTACAGTAACTTTATGTTGTATATAGCCGCCCCGAGCTAGTCCCCGTCAGCGTTCAGGCTTTATTACCCGCGGTCGGTTCCTGACGCGGTACTCCACTAGAAAGTGCGGCCTATCTCTACATTTCACATGAAACACTAGGATATATCGAGAATGTACCAGTATTTTTTTTAAGACCTGAAAAAGTTTTTCAGAAATTTATCGAAAGAAAACTCTGCCTTTCTTTAACATTTCGAATCCATTGTTCGCCATTTTGTGCACAAGTCTTCTACCATGTCTTCTTCATTGTTGTGTCACTTATGATTAATTTCGTGGAAACTTGGGGATATATTTCTGGTTACTTCAGAGTGTGTGATGGAGAAGATACGCAGGGCCTTCACATATTTTTTTTTTTGGTTGTCGCTCTAATTATAACTTGCCAAATTTGGCGCTTTGCTCACACTGAGCTTGCAGACAACGGAAGTGGTTTCATACTGTTTTTCACGAAACTGAGCGCGTGGACTGTTTTTTTCAAATGGCTCGTCTGCAGATTTTTTTAAATTTTTTCTTCTCAGCAAACTTCCGGATCGAAACATTATTTGCATCGACAATAAAAAAAATTGAACTCTTTCGATAGATTAGCAACCGGAAAAAGAGGACAAGGAAAAAAATAAAAGTTTAGCCATAAAAAAATAAGTCAGTACATTTTGGTCACCCTATTAACTATTGTTTCAAGTTAAAGCATTGTGCAGTTATCGCATGATTCTCAGCACAAATGAAAGCCGTCCAAGATCAACTTGATTGTCATTAGAAGAAAATTTCCGCTTTACGTTTTGCAACTGAACTAGCAATCTTGACCAGCAACATTCATTAAAAAGTGACTAAGTGACCCACAATCAAGATAAATAATTATTCTGCTGCTCAAATAAGCAATCTTCAAACTTAATTCGATTTACCACTCGATCCAATCGATCGCTCGAAATAAGGGCTTAAAATGGAAATAAATTCTTCAACCAACCATAACTCTATCTTAACAGTACACAACTGGGAGGATGGCCGAAATTGAGCGCTGAATCCAACAGCAATAGAGATTTGCTTTCGTTTTCACTAACTAAAGCTGACCGTTCTGACATGTTTACAAAACTGTGACATAAGTGCACGACTGGTATTTAAAGAAACTAAAATAAAAGTGAACAATTACTATTAATCTTTATTTCACACTGCTTTAAGTCTCTTTTCTTGTTGCGGTGGGGAAAACAGGGAGCTTTGAAATAGTGCCCGGCGGCAAGGAAATCGTCCTGCGATTACGGCAATTAAGTGCCTCGTAAGAAAACTAGGAAATAGATTTCATCTAGATTAGTTTAGTGGAGTCTAATCGAAAGGAGAGATAAGACATATCACGTAGCGTCTAGCGCTTCCACGCTGGCTGTCTGTTTCTTACGTCGTATCATTACGAGAACACCTAAACTTAAACTGGCAGGGCAGTTCCCGCGAGCCTGGCGGACTGCCGGATTGAGTTCGCACTCAGTTCGCGCTCAAACCCGTCACAACTTTATGAGCATACGCGAAAGCAATGGATTTAAAGGCAAACACGACGAATTTCAGCATCCAAACGTTGGTAAATAACACCTCAAATTTAAATGGCTCGAAGACAGGTTTTGAGGAAGGTCAGCCAACCGCCTTCACAATCGCCCAAGTCATTTTCTACTATGTCATGATTCTTCTATCCTTGATCGGTAACGCAGTGGTTATCAAGACTGTTAGAAGAATTAGAAAGAAAATCACAAGAAAAGTACACTATATTTTTATTGTCAACTTATCTGTGGCAGATCTACTCTTTGCAGTAGAGAACATCCCTTTAACATATACATATTTATTGATGAATGGAGCATGGAAAATCGAAGGTTTCTTTGGGAACATTTTGTGCCGGCTAGATCTTTTCCTATCCTTGATTCTCATTTTGACCACAAATCTAACCATTCTGGCTATCGCTGTGGAGAAATTTTGCGGTATATTTTTCCCAATGAGGACATTTATCTCAAGAAAACGATCTTATGTAATTGTTGTGTCCACCTGGGTTATTGGTGCGCTCTACGCTTCTCCATTGCTCTGGTCAAACTTTGCCAATCTCGTTCTTCATCCTGACGGATATTTTCAATGTTTTCTTTGCATCCAGTGCGAGAAGGTTGTACAGTGGTTTATTGTGCAAACAGTACTACTGGCCACGGGGTTCATAACGACTCTCATTCTGTACTCTGCAATTGGGATTAAAATTTGGCTTGGTAAAACGCCCGGGTTTCGCCTTCACGAAGTAAAACGCAAAGGAAAAGAGAAAAAATACAGAGCGATAAAAATGCTTGCAATGTTGGTGGTCGTATTTTACATTTCCTTCATACCATTTTGGATTTTTCAGATTTCAATTTATTTCAGCTTTCATGAGAGTCTTGGATCAAACTATGGTCAAATTTCTGCATTCCTCATGTACTGTAACGGGGCCATCAATCCACTCATTTACAGTCTTTATAACTTGGACATTCGCGGCCAATTTAAAGCCTTGCTTAAGTGTAGAAGACCAGTTGAAAGGCCACCAAGCTTCACGACATTTAGGACCAGAAGACAAACCGAAAATGTGCAACTAAGGAACTTGTCTCGACTGCAGTCACCCAGGAGAGCTGATGAACAATTGAACTCTGTCTACATTGCCCGTCACTTCGAGTACTGACCAAAGAAATTCAGTTAATTTTCATTAGCGAGGACGAGCGTTTGTGTTTCTTATCATAGCTGAAAAATATTGGAGCGGAGCTAGCTAGCGTGATAGCCCAGTTACCTAAGAAAACTGATGATTAATTTAACTCTGTTTACACTACACGTCACTTCGAGTACTGACCACAGAAATTCAGTTAATTAATTTTCATTCACGAGGACGAGCATTTGTGTTCTAATCACGGCTGGAAAATATTGGTGAGGCACTCAAAAGATAGCCCAGTAAGCAAGAAACTCACTGATAAGCAATTTAACTCTGTTTACACTACGCGTCACTTCGAGTACTGACCACGAGAAATTCAGTTAATTTTCTTTTACGGGGCGTTCGTGTTGTTGTGTTCGAATCATAGTTCGAAAATATCGATGGAGCTCACGTAATAGCCCTTGGCTCTAAAGAACTAACGACTGACGCTCGAAACCTCCGAATATTTGAATCTATATATACGCCAGCCAAAGACCCAGCGAAACTTTGTTTGAATTGCAAACAGAAAAACTGAAAACTTGCAAACCTAGCAAGGCCATGCGAAAAAGATGCTCGGTAATGGGCTTCTGTCATGAGGCGTTTACAAATCAGCATTGTAAAGTACCATGTAAAGGCGCACATCAGCCAAAGGCCAAAGCGGTCGGAGCTCAGTTATCCCGGTCTCATTAGCATGAAGCATGCCTAGGAGTATTGCTACTCGATACCCCCTGGACGGGATACTAGTTCATCGCAGAGTTACCGCCCAGCAGTATGTCGCCGGTACTCATTTATACACTCGGGTGAAGAGAGTGGACTAAAGTTCCCAAGTCTAAGGTGAACGCCGCGGGGGAGGCTTGAACCCCGGACCTCCAGATCCGGAGTTCAAGGTGTCAAGCGATCGGGCACGCACGCCTCCACACACAAATCAACATGGGGACTTAGTAGCAACTTCATAGCGGGTTCTGAGCATCTTCTTTGGGAGAGAGTAACTTTGAGCAGCTTTTCTGAAGATGATTTTATTTGGTTCGGCATTTTGAGATATATCAAAACAAAATGTTGCTCTTGTTTTAAATTTTTTAACATTTCCTGTGGACGATACTACAACTAAACTTAGGAAACATCTTGCAAGTCTAAAAACGCTGTTTTGTAGAGTTAGGTATCCTGTGATGATTAATTCCAAATATAGATGTGCTGCGTCAGAACCAAATGGGGCACAATACGTTGTCTTTTTCCAGCGACGAAGAAAGAGTAATCACAGTGATGGCCTTAGTAAGGTTGCAAATTGATCAACTAAATTTCGGAGCCTGAGCAAACATCAGTTTAAATCAATATCGGTTATAGGCATCAATTTTTGAGAGCAAATAATTTATTCATCGTTTGGCATACTTTGGAGGCACTTTTCGGCAATTTTCTTAGGACACTTGGTATAGGCCTATTTTTGGCAATTAAATGTCTCCTGAAGAGTCTGAATTGCTGATATAGATGACCTGCATTGCAACATGGATTACCCGAAATAATCTTCCATTCAATCAGCCGGTTAAGAAATAGTATCAATCAGCAAGAACATTTTAAACCATTATATGATCTTATATAATTATATCGTCTAACGGTAACAGCTTTGAAGAGATAAATCAAAGCACGACCTTGGATTGTCACCCGGGGATTGTCATTAAAGTAATGTGATGAATTAACTTATATACATTGCATTCTTATCTCGACGCCTTTTACCGTAATACACAATTATGTACAAGTACGGGAGATTTTTTTTAAAAAAGCTCAATAGAGCTTGCTTAAAATCCTCCGGACTTATGTTTCTTGATGTTATTCATTATCTCATGTTAAGCATAAGAAATTTGATGTAAAGGATGTAAGGCAAATAAATAAATCTCATATTATGTTATCTACGATCCCACTGATAATAGAACGGATCTAAAACCAAAGCAACGGTATTAGGGACGGACGATTAGAAAAGTTATGGGAGGGGTGGGGAATTTTTGAGCCGCAGGAATTTTTTTTCGTTATCAAATTCATTGTACAATTTTTTTTTAGGCCTTAGCATGAATATTTTTTAGGGTTAATTGGCCTGCATGAATTTTTTTTCATTTAAAGTTCCCTTGCGCAAATTTTTTTTCGTACTTCGCCCCCCCCATAAGTTTTCTAATGGTCCGTCCCTTAAGACACAAAAGATTTACTCTGTCTGTAAAGAACAAATAAGTGAGAGGTGGGGAGCAAAATTAACCGGTTGACTAACTTGTCATGCCCACCCCACCCCACCCCACCCCACCCTCCCCTCCCGTATAATATCAAGTTCTAAACAGGCGGCACAGGCGGTTAAAGCTGTCCATCTTTAGTTGATCCATGGTCCCCGTGAGTCAATGTAAAAGGACCGATCACATGATAATTAAACCATGTTAATCCACCGTAGTTAGTGAAGGGGACTAAGAGCCAACGAAATATTTTAAGGTTCCCTTTCTTCAGATCAAAGGCATCACTTTGTGTGCTTAATGACTTTTTACCGGCGAATATGAAGTGTCTGTCACCATACCAACGAATTGTAAACCGGCATTGTCGGGGAAAACTGAAAAAAAGTCACAAACACTCGTCGACTCTTGATGAATTAAAATTATCCATAGCAAAATTATTTGATTTTCATACCCTGTCCTATTCCATGCTTGTCTAGTCGGCACACATCCACCTAGCCTGGGTAGCAAGCGTTTACGTTTGGTTTCGGAACAAAGAAAGACCAATCCTCGTTCTTTACTCCGAAACCGCACGCAAACGTAGGTTTTATGAGTATGTTACCCCCACTACCCCCGGGGAGGGGAATTCAACAGCATTGTCGTAAACAGGAACATACTTTGGGGGATAAAGCCACCACTACTATAAGCACTTCTCGCAATCTAACGTCTTAGCAAGCTGGTACCCACAATAATAATCGACAGACCCAACAGTGTTCGGTGAATTTACTTGCATACTTAAACGCAAAGAAGTTCTGCGTCCAGATGTCTGCAAATTTAAGTTCGCATTTAGATGGATCAGAGACACATCTTGAAGGAGGTCAACCCACCACGGCATGGAATGTGACACAAGCCTTCGCTTACTACATAATGATTCTGCTCTCCTTGATCGGTAACACAGTGGTTATCAAGTCCATTAAAAGGACTGGAATAACTCTCCGAAGGCAAGTACACTATATATTCATCGTAAACTTGTCTGTAGCAGATCTTCTCTTCGCCTTAGAGAACATTCCCATGGTCTGCACTCATCTGCTACTCAATGGAGCATGGAAAATTGAAGGCAACGTGGGTACCTTTTTGTGTCGGTTTGATCTTTTCTTATCCATCATTCTTATTTTGGTCTCAAATTTGACCATTCTGGCGATCGCTTTCGAGAAATTTTGTGGTATAGTTTTTCCAATGAAGACGTTTGTCTCAAGAAAACGATCTTATGTAATTGTTGGGTCCACGTGGCTAATCGGTGCGCTCTACGCCTCTCCGTTGTTTTCATCTGGCTTTGCCAAACTTAAAAACTATCCCGACGGAAATTATCGATGTGATCTTTGCATCACGTGCGAAAAGGTTGTTAATTGGTTTATTTTACAAACAGCAGTCCTGGCGACTGGATTCGTAATAACTCTGATTCTTTATTCAGCAATTGGTGTGAAAATATGGCTTCGAAAAACCCCTGGATTTCAATTGCGCGAATTCCAACGAAGAGCTGAAGTTAAGAAACACAGAGCAATGAAAATGCTGGCAATGTTGGTAGTCGTATTTTACATATCCTTCATACCATTTTGGATTTACCAGCTTTCAATATATCTCAGCTTCCACAAAATCCTTGGTCCAAAGTACGGTCAAATTTCAGCATTCCTCATGTACTGTAACGGGGCCATCAATCCGCTCATTTACAGTATTTATAATTTGGACATTCGTGGTGAGTTTAAGGCCTTGCTTACGTGTAAAAAACCAACAGAGAGGCCAAGAAGCTTTATGACAATACAAACAAGAAGGCAAACTGAAACGGCTGCAGAACTAACTGTGAAGAACAAAGTTTGTCCGTGTTACAAGATACATCAAGAAGTCACCGGCACGAAAAACGACGGATTTATTTGCGAGGACACACGTTTGTGATCTATATAATCAAGACTAAAGTGCTTATAAGATAGCGAAAACATTACCTGTAGTTTTAGTAAAACGATACGGAATGACTGTAACGTCTCGCGCCATATTATGGATGTAGGAAACCCGGGAGGAGATAATGAGTCACGCGAGCAAAACGTAAGTCACGCTATCTGAATGAACTCACGCTATTTTATGTCATGTGAGCTTAATCACATCATGCCTATTAAGGCCTCTGACGACTTGTTTTGTATGTCTCGACAGCACATGCACACTTAGGAGTGTTTTTTAAATTTTTGAAAGTGTTGCTTTCCAATTGTTGGAAGTTGTGGAAATGATCAGTTTTAGTATTATCAGTCAAATCGAATGCTTTGTAGTCTGATCAAAATAAAATCATGTAAAAATGTCCAAAATGTTCCTGGCATCGCTTTGTGGTCACAAGTGGGACTGTTTCATTCAGCATCTTTCAAGCGAGTTTACCGTTTACTTGTAACAAAGTGTTAGTAACCCTAAAGGCGATGCTGGGCAAGAAACAGTTCAAACGCATTTTAATTCTTGCTTCATGGGACAGTTTGCTTGCACGGTTATTTCTTACTTACGGCTTAGGGGGAAAAAACTCGCCATTGGTTCAGACTCTTGAGACGAGAGTGACGTCACTTGAACTTTGGATGTGAGTTCTTTTGAATCAATTCTTGCTCAAGAAGTGCAAATGTAGGGTTAAACGTTGCCCTTTGTACCTTGAAGAAAAATTTGAAAAGATAACTGAGGTCACAGACACTCATTCCAGTGTGCTTCTAGTACTTAATTATTCACTGAGAAAATAGTAATTAAAATGCAAAGAGTTCTGTTCTTCCGACAATCGCTTTTAAAGGTAAAGCCTCAATAGAGATGCTGTTTATAGTTGTGAAGAGACCGTCTCGTAGTCAGTGTGAAAAATAGCAAATAAGACCAGAGGTTAGTATGCGAGTAAGCTCTCTTGAATCAGTGGGTAAAGAGATTGTTTGCAGGCAAAAAATGTTATGGGATCATATCGTAGGCGTTAGTCTATCATCGGCATGTGATCAACCGCGCGCCCAGGGCTATTTGCGCCGCTCCGTTTCCTGGGGGTTTAAGTCTTGAGACCAGATTGCTCATTTTCTGATCATAAGACGCAACAATCGAAACTGACTTCACTTAAAAAGTGAATTCGCGTTGCTTCAAACTTAATCGTGCTTATTCAATGTCCTTCAATTCGTCAATCGCTGGTAAATTTTTCTGGAGTTGAATTCTGAAAGACGGTTTCAAAGTTCGGGAAAAGAAAAAGAAAGTCATTGTATTGTGAACACGTCCTCGACAAAACGTGAAATTACGCACTTCCACGTCGTAGTTGTGCAGTGACGCAAATAATATGTACAAAAGAGGGCAAAGTTATTGTTTTGCCAATCTAATTAAAAACCTATTACTTTTTTGTATACAATCTAAGCGGCGCTATAAAAATTGTATCTGTTCGGACATCCTGGGGCAACTCGAGTATTTGCGAACAGTATAATTTTCCCGAAAATTTTAGATGCATTTTAAAGCTTTAAGAAAGTAAGAACTTTTCTGATTCCTCTGTCCGCCGTATTTGCGAATCCGAAATGTTTAGCCTTAGCCCGGGGAGTGAAATGAGAAAAATTAATTAGAAAGTGGTAGAGAATTTAAAAGATAAGCTTCGGAAATTGTAAAGGAATGAAACGGTCATCTATCCTCAGCTATAGAAAATTCTAGGCAATTTTTGCTTCTTCGGAGAGCCACATTTTACAGAAAACAGTCATTGGGTGCCCCTGAGGAAAGGACCTTCAGACAGCTTTATAAACTGAACTGGACTTATTTGTCCTTAGCTAGATAAGATGAGGTGAATCGAATGATTGATCGTGTCTTTCTAATCTTCAAACTGATATAAATTTCGTGCGTCATCGAGTGGAAGGATTGAAACAATAACCCAAACGCTTTTTATCTCAAGAGTAATGGGGATGCTCGTCGAAAATTTTGGGGGTGGGGATGCTCGTAGGAAATGAACGCTCCATGAAATTAAGGTATTGGAAATTAACGCGACTTAAATTAGCGCGAATTTAATTGAAAACGACTTTCGAATAAAGAAAATTAACGCGAAAGAGGAGGTAGAGTTTCATAATAAAGGAAATTAAAGCGATTAAGACACAGCTGATGGAGGCAACTGGAACAAATTTATTTCAGCACTGGCTGCAAAAAGATTCAAAACTGAACAAAAGTGAGCTGACATCACTTCTGACAGCGACAACAAACAAAGATGAAAAATAAAGGGTAAATGGAAAGAACGAAAGCTTTTAGTTAATGTTTTTTAGGTGTCTGGACAGGTTCCAAAATTGGGTTTAAAATATTGGAAATTTAGAGCGGGGAAATTAACGCTGCACTTAATTAACGTCGCGGAAATTAACGCTCAACAAAATTAACGCGACTTAAATTAACGCGAATTTTAACGATTCGCGTTAATGTCATAGAGCGTTAATTTCTTATAATAAGGTAAGCCCGTAAAGGAGACCGATCTGGGCGTGGTCCAAGCTTTTTTTGATCCCTAAAAGAGACCATGTTGAAACACAGACACATGAGAAAACTTGGGTTATATAAATGGAGTAAATAAAACGAATTAAAAATACACATATCAAATATATATTTTTATATTTTTTCGCGTGCAACCCTAAACGAGACCTTCACGGCTAAATATGATGGCGCTTTGCCCAGAGCACCCTAAATGAGACCGAAATCCGAAATTTACACCCCTAAGAGAGACGACGAGCATCCCCACCACTTTCATATGCGGAGTCTCCCCCCCGGTAATGATCGTGATAATAATCGATGAATGGAGACAGGAAATTTAGTTTTCGACAGCCTGTATTTAAATTTCGTGATTTTTAAAGGCGAGTATTTAACATCCAATTTTCATGATGTTAAAGAGTTTTAACTTAATAATAAATAAACGACCGATGTTATATCTAAGATTTCAAATAATGTTCCCAATGAAAGACAACAACAGAAACCATATAGTTTACGTGTTGTCCGTCCTACAAAGACCCCAATCGATATCAATAGAGTTGTCAGCTGAGGAGGCTTTTTTTCCCACGAAAGTTATCACTTTTTTTGGCTGCTTCTCAGTAAAAAAAAAATAAATAAACCTATCAAGCAACCGATTTAATGAATTGCAATTGGAATTAACTTCTTACAATTTTGCGCTGTAATATGCAGATGGAGAGGTAATAATTAACACTATTGTATGGTCAAGTTAGTTCAAATATAGCCTTTGAAGTTGGTTATGGAATAATTTGCTGATAGCGCTCGTAGTATTAAAATGAACTGGCGTGTAGAAATATTAAGGCTAAAATACGCCTTCCTTTCTTCCTCTCCGCCAAAGATTGAATATATCGAAAAGTAGAGACAAAATTGGAAATGGCAATAAACGCAGCGACGTATAGCCGGAGACTAAACTGACGCGTAGATGATAAAGTAGAGCCGTTTGCGTCATTGCCGGTGACAAAGAAAATCCCTTACAGCAATTTTACGGATACGGGACTGCGCAGACTTTCTCACTGTACATTAGTAGGAACAAGTCCATAAAAGATTTTGGTCTTAACTGGAGAAATATATTACGCATTACACACTCTATTTAACAACATTTTATAATTCAATATATTTTTGGATTGTTCGCCCACTTTAGATTTCATAAGAGGTTTTGGAGTAAATTACAAAAATAATGCACGAAACTGTCCATTTATAGCACCAATTTTTCTCGTAGGTTTGCGAGTTTAGAGAAGTGATCAAAGAGCGGGGGGCTTCAAAATATTCTCTTGAAAACGAAATATAATTATTTCTGCTAAAACACCCTGTCTCAGTGAATAGCCTCCATAACTTAATGCACATTTAAGCCTTGGCTATTTGTGTTTTTACGTAAAGATTTATTGTTCTAACCACGGTAGCTCTAAGTCTCTAATACAACTGTATTCCAAATAACGATCTGAATCTGAATTAAGGCAACGTTTTTGACAGAGTATACTACTTTCCATTTATTTCATAAAGTTAACTGAGGAAATAAGGATTATAAAAGCCGACTTTCACCTGCTGTGATTGTTCAAATAGAAATAAAACCGTATTTTGGAATCCCACTTTATTTTTCATTAGCGAGTTTGAATATTTATGACCACGGACCTGTTTGTCAACTTCGCAATGCGTGTTTTCTCGAGAGGGAGATAGCGTTTTCGTCACGGCTGTGAAGGACAAAAGATTTTCCCAGCTACAGGCTCTTGTGTAATATCACAAGATTTTAATTGGAAAGTCAAAAATCATACTGATAATGACTTTAGAAAGAATCAATCAGTACTTCTGATGACTGAGCAATATATGATCGGACGACATGAACTTCACGGAGAAAGCAGTGGTCAAATCAGCAAGCACTTTTCAGAAACTGGAAAACAGATCATTACTACAGGTTATTCTTGAAGTAGGATTTGCGTTTGTTATCCTCTTGTTGGCTACACTAGGAAACTTTTTAATGATGGCAGTCATGTATAAGAAAACACAACTGCGGACGATACCCAACTTGTTTGTCCTCAATTTATCCGTGGGAAATTTTCTCCTTGCTGTTGCAGTTCTCCCCGTGTTTATCTGGACGCTGATAAAAGGAAAATGGACTTTTAGCACGACATTTTGTGAAATTCACGGGTACCTGAATTATCTATTATTTGCTATTACTCTTTTCACTCTAACAGCAATCAGTTTAAATCGCTACATATTAATTTGCTATCCTGGCAGATACCACGAGACATTTAACAAGAAGCTTGTGGTAAAAATAATCGCTGGTATATGGATTTTATGCATAATCTGCTGTACCCCGCCACTGTTTGGTTGGGGTCGTTTCAGCTTTAATCCTCACACAGCTCTATGCCACAGCGACAATACCAGTAACTCTTTTAAATACGCGGCCAATACATTCATGCTGCTAGACATAATCATTGTGGTATTTT